ATCTTCGGTGGGGGCATAAGTAACCACGACCACCATTCCTCGCCTCTGGTTGATGGGAAGGCGAGCCCAAAGTAGCCTGGGGCTTACAGCTTCCCACACCTCGCCGCCACGCTCCCACGCCCCCTTCATTCTTTTGTTAAAAATAAGAGCCACACCCTGTTGTTTGGCAGTCTGCTGCCCCGAGTAGAGGACTGTCCACCCCTCATGGTGGCAGGAGCCAGAGCCGGTCCACCGGACCTCCTGAATGTCGCATAGATCCAGGCGGTACCGGTCCAGCTCCCGACAGAGGAGTGGCAGCCTCTCCTCCGCAGTGAGCGTTCGAACATTCCACGTGGCCACCCGTAGTGGCTTTTCGTTGTTTCTGGAGGAGCCCTGTAGGGTGGATATTCAATCTCCTGGCTCCGCCAATTGGGGTTTGGCCAGGAGACGTCGTAGACGCCTGGCCCCCCCAGGGCCTCCGGCACAAGCTTATTAGTTACATATTTCAATTTAACTCGTGGTTTCGTGGTAATTAATTGAAGGTGGAGGGGTTACCAGCCCCTCGCACCCGTCCAGAGCCCCCGTTTAGCCCCTGTGGTGGACACATATGCCATGAGGGGAGGAGCCAATCAAAATTGGATCTCCCCCCACAGCACTGTCCACGACAGAGTTGCCCGTCCGGCACCGCGAGGAACCCACACACACACAAACACACACACAAACCCACACACACAAACCCACACACACACACACAAACCCACACACACACAAACACACACACAAACCCACACACACACACAAACCCACACACACATACACACAAACCCCCCACACACACACAAACACACACACACAACACACACACATAGACACAAACCCACACACACACAAACCCACACACACACAAACCCACACACACACAAACCCACACACACAGACACAAACCCACAAACCCACACACAAACCCACACACACACACACACACACACACACAACGCACACATACACACAAAGCCACACACACACACAACCCACACACATAGACACAAACCCACACACACAAACACACACACAAACCCACACACACACAAACACAAACCCACAGCCGCTCACTCCCAGCACGAGGATGACTCATTGCATCTCGCGGAGGATCGCTCCACCGAACCAAAGAGTTCCACGCTTCAGCTTGCAAGTGCGAGTTCGTGTTTCAAGTCGATGTAAACAAAAACAACATCTCACGGAAGCTGGTTCGTAAGCACGGGTGTTCGTACGTAGGGTGTTCGTAAGTCGACGATTTGCACTGAATCAACGCTGTTGAAATTGTGCATTTCCAGAAGACCGTTGGGTTTTGTAAAAATTTTTTATTATTATTTTGAATGCGAAGATCCGGATACGTGAATGAAACATTGTCTGCTGATCTATTTTTCTTATTTATGCTCGCCATGCTGCTCACCAAAATGTAGTTACGCGTGCCAATAGAGGTCGCTATTGCATGCCATGTTCAACGCGTGTCCAAGAAGCATGCTCATATTTTGACTCATCTCGAATCGGATCCGATTACGTGTTAAGCAAGTCCCACACGTACAGATTTGCCACAATCTTGCATAACATGCACGTCTATGCTTAAGGGAAAAACCAATGCGACAAAGTTTGGTGAAAGTAGAAATCCGTGCTAATTACACCTCTTCTGACTTATATTGTTGTTACTTTCTCCATGTAATCTCACGAAACATCGTGGCCCAGTAAATGAAACATGCTCCATCCACCATTACACTGACTACTCCGGTATTGGATCTTTAGCCACATTGGCATGAGAATAGGTTTTCCCCTTTTTTCTGGCAACAAAACAGGTGTTAAGATGTAAAAACATCAAGATGAAACATTTTACAAGGAATCATGTCTGCATCAACCACAATACTTGTGGTCAGAATGCAAAAAAAATATACTCTGATAATATATGCATTGTTTTTGAAACTGATTGATCCACACCAGAGACAGCTTTCTTTTGAACCTAGTCTGATGCAGCTGTGTCATCTTATGAATATTGAGCCAGCTGCTTCATCTTATGAATATTGAGCCAGTTACTTCATCTTCTGAATATTGAGCCAGCTGTGCCGTCGTCTGAATATTGAGCTAGTTACTTCAACTTCTGAATATTGAGCCAGTTCATCTCATGAATATTAAGCCAGATGTGTCATCTTCTGAATATTGAGCCAGTTGCTTCATCTTCTGAATATTGAGCCAGTTGCTTAATCTTATGAATACTGAGCCAGATGTGTCATCTTCTGAATATTGAGCCAGCTGCTTCATCTTATGAATATTGAGCCAGTTACTTCATCTTCTGAATATTGAGCCAGCTGTGCCGTCTTCTGAATATTGAGCCAGTTACTTCAACTTCTGAATATTGAGCCAGTTCATCTCATGAATATTAAGCCAGATGTGTCATCTTCTGAATATTGAGCTAGTTGCTTCATCTTCTGAATATTGAGCCAGTTACTTCATCTTATGAATATTGAGTCAGATGTACTTCATCTTATGAATATTGAGCCAGATGTGTCATCTTCTGAATATTGAGCCAGTTGATTCATCTTCTGAATATTGAGCCAGTTACTTCATCTTCTGAATATTGAGCCAGCTGCTTAATCTTCTGATGCCTTTTTCCTGGCATAAATTGAAGCTCTGCTGCTCAGAAGTTCTAGAACCATGTTTCAACACCCCATGAAAAGACCAATAGCACAATATGAGCACAATTATAATTTAGCTAATGGCGAAATACAAATATATGCAGTGTACATAACTAACATAATCGATATGATGTAAAATCAGATATCCTGGTATCCCCTCAAAAATAAATAACTTAGCAATGTGTTCTAACCCGTTTAGGTAAACGACTCTGATTTGTTGATTGATTGCCTCATATAATAAACTGAAACCTTTTACAAGGAATCATGTCTGCATCAACCACAATACTTGTGGTCAGAATGCAAAAAAAGTACTCTGATACTATATGCATTGACATTGAAACGGATTGGTCCACACCAGAGACGGCTTTCTTTTGAGCCTCGTCTCAAAACGGTGTTAGACCAGAGGACGCCAAAAGACGTACAGCTCAAAGACAGCTCAAAGACAATGCCACTGTCAGAGTAATGAGAGCTCTGGTTGAGCATCTACATGATAGGACCTCCTATGCCAGTACCAAAATATGAGAATAGGTTTTCCCCATTTTTTAAATAGTCTTTTTAATACGTATGCTGTCACAAACAGTATCCACAATAAAGGGTTTTTATTGGTTAGATCGCGTAAATATGAATGTGTCGCCACCACCCGAGACAGGCAATCAGTAAGGTTTGTCACTTAAACAAAAGTTGCCAATTAGTTACTGCTTCAGCACACCGGTGAGTCGGAGAGTAAACCCGCAACATTTACAATTCGAGTACGACGTTTCGCTGGTGATTACAACGGGCAATTAGCCGTAATTGTGAAGAAAGTCCTATTTCGGTCTTTAATAGAGGGGTTAAAGTGATGTCATTACTGTGAGCCTATCAGGTGGTTAACAAGCACCAACAACCCCCTCCCCCATGCAACAGTGACATTGCATGCGCAAGTTACTAAATAAAGAAAGAGCCCGTGGCTCCGAACTCAGAAGCTGGCACGTAAACCGGGAATGAGCAATGGGCACCAAAGCAGCATGGGGTGTGAACTTGCCATGTAGGTGCCCCCCCCCCCCCCCCCCCCTATTCAACACTCAAAATCTGAACATCATCAATCCACAGCTCACGACCCCAAGAATACAACGGGTTCGCATTCCACGCACCGCCAAGTTGTGTTCCAAGCACAACGACGTTACGCCCGCCTTCCCGAGGCCTTCCCGTACATCACGCACCTGCGCGACCTTAGCGAGCCCTTGTTTGGCAATGCTACCAGCTGGGACGTTTTGCTCTTGTTTTTGGGGAAGAGTGCCTCATGTCACGAGGCACGGAGGTTGGGTCAAAGGTAATTCATCTTTTTGTACGACCCGGTTAACCCCGTGGCCCTGTGAGTCTCCCTCCAGCACGCCTGCCCAGCATACAGTTTGGTGTTCCAACTATGTCGGCCTCCACTGAAGGGAGCTCTGGATATAGCCCCTTTAGGGGGGGGGGAGGGGGCGTATTTTGGCCTACTCTTTCCACGCTGGAAAGATCATGAGAGTAACCCACACTTTACCCCACCACACGCAGCGTGCCGGTCGCCTGCTGTTGGCTGATGCCGCTTGACGCAGGCTGTTGGATTGAACGATGGTGGAGCGGGCGGATTTAATCAACTTTCTCCCATTGATGCAAGTGCCTCGCCCGGAGATAGAATCAATCTCCGGCACCTTCTGGAGTGCAAGTCCATAGACCACGGCAGCTCCCTTCGTTTCTCGGTTTCGACGTTCACGTGTATTGCTCTCGACCAGGGCTCGTCAACCAAAGTAACAGGAAGGGTACATGTTGTTGTTGTTGTTGTTCGAATTCGGTACGAAACTCAATATTTGAAGAGCCGCAATGCATTGTGAATACTTACACCCATTACGTCACGACGCAGCCCGTAACGAGCCGCACGCGCCTCTGGAGCCCTGCTCTCGATGTTACTTACACAATTGCGGGAAACCGGTAACCGGTTTTTAAGAGCCACTTATATCCATACGGTTACCGGCAATGCAACACAGCGCAATTTGAACAACTCAAACTAACACGGTGGATTTAAGACACTTGACGATTATTTTCCAACGCCGCGCCCGAGAGATTGAATCGGCCCTCTGTGGTTCACCGAGGATTCGCGTTAAACCCGCTCACTGGACCGACCACGATCGGTGTCCGTCCCATTTATTTCCGCGGCGACGTCTACGAACGGGGTCACCCTGTGTTGTTATACTCGTGCCTGTACACGAGCGTGGCTAGAGCAGACCGGGGGGTGGGTGGGAGGGGATAGCGACTGCCGAAACTCTTGAAAGCTACAGCCGAGCTGGAAATGCGCGCTTTCCAGAGAGAGCAAAAGGGTTCGGTGGGGGGGGGAGAAAGAAGGGGGCACCTTGGGAATTCCGCCAAGGCGAGCTTATTAAAGCCCCCCCCCCCCGCTATGCTCCCGAACGCTCATAGCTCGCCCATCCGTACAAGGTGCTCCCACACGGCCGTCACCTCCACTGTGCTGATCACAGCAAGAGAGAGCCAGCCAGCACAGCTGAGAGCCAGCCCCCGCCCTCCTCCTACACGGTTATCAATCAGCTGGCGAGAGCGGCGCAGGTAAACCACGTTCCTCTCGCGCGCGCAGCAGATATCGAACAACAACAACAATACGAGCGGTGGATCCATTCGCAATGGACAAGCAGCCGCGGTCACCAGAAGAAGCCACATCCGCACACACGGAAGGCTCCAGGGCCAAAGCGCTCTTGTCCAGGGAGCCCATGGGGCGTCGGCTGTGCCTGCCGCCGCTCGGGCAGGTGGTGCTGTGGGCGCTGCTGTGTGGCATCGGGGTGATAGTTCACTCCCTGGGGGCACGCGTGGCCAGGCTGGAAAGTAGAGCGGCAGAGGGCGGCGTGGAGGCCGTGGGCTGCGACTCGACCCCGAGGGGACCCCACAAGGCGCTGAGTCAGGTAGGTTGAGTCGGGGGGTGATGGGGGGAGCGGGCTGACGGGGGTGGGGGGGCAACTCGCAGGATTGATTGTCATTGTTGTTCATCACCACCGTCATCATCATCATCATGTTGAGATGTTGCAAGCGCACGAGACGTTTTCGGCATCGTGGCCATCAGGGTGGTGATCAATAGCATCATTTTGAGCTATGCATTTGTATGTATGTATACGTGGGAATAGCGTGCATAATAATGATGATATTGTAGCAAATGTTTAACTATGTCGGTTTGCATGCAGCCGCAATCAGTATTGCTCCGTATTATAGCTTGCATAATTAAGTGTAAGTACGGCAGGAAAGCCTGACTGAGTCTCAAGATATTTTTTTTCTGGCGAATCCGACATTGGAACATATGGCCAACATAACGTCGAGTGCTGTGTTAGTAGTAAGTCTCTTCCAGCCAGGTTCAATAGCCCACTTTGCCCATGCCGCTATCGCCTCGTCACCTCGCAGCTTAGCAACAAAAGCTTCACACGTCAACGCGAGCTAACTCATCTAAATGAAACACAAACCTAAGTGCGCCAAAGCACTGGTGGTCGGTCATAGGCGTTCGTCACTACGCCCGGCTCGCATATTATACAGGTGTACATATAGAGCTGCTCATAATGTATGCGAGCTGCTACACGAACAATTAATGTGCGGGATGCAATTGCATGAATGGCACCCACATAAAATGAAATTATTCTTATTTACAATAACACCAATCATCATTTCATCGCATCACAAACTAATTTATAGACGTAGAACTAACAAATGTGCCACATATAGATGTAATGATGGTGGAGATGAGGTGAATGAAACAGATGAGAGGAAGCATTGGGGGCAAATCTGTGATGCTGCGTTAATTCGGTGAAAGCGAAATTGATGGCAGTGAATGACGGTGAATGGATTGAATGGACGGGGAATGAGTGAAAGCCGTGTAATGAGAATATGAATAGGGAACAGTAACGGTGGCGGTTATAAGAGGGGGATATTAAGGGGTCGTGAGTGAGCAAGGGAAAATATGTGAGTTTTGAGTGCGAAGCGGAAACTCGTGAGCGAAGAAAGTTAAAAAAAAAACTAATCAAAGTTATTTCTTGCCCAAATGAGCGTAGAGGCGGTTGCTTATCTCCCGTTTATAGCTCTGAGCCAGTGGTGGAAATTTGACATTTTTTTTTTATGGCGGGAGCTACAAATGTTGCGAGCTTGTTACAAAGTAACAGAGATTTGTGCGTGTTTTTAAGAAGTACGCGGACAGGCTTGGCGAGTGACGTAAATAGTATTACGGATAACTGCTACGAAACGAAAATTAAGAAGAAGAAGAAGAATTTGAGGAAGGCAAGGTTATATCTCGTGTACATGTAATGAGAGAAACAAGAGTTTGAATATACAATTTTGACTTGGAAACGTATAGGTTACAACAGGAAGTTGGGGAAGACAGCTAATTTAGTTCCCAGAAGCAATAAAAAAACGCATCTGGGAGGGAGTATCACATGCAAAGTTATTGAGTAAATACAATGGATTGAGCTACATTTACAGAAGGCCACGATCTCTGGTGCCTTTGAGAAATTACCACGCGGCATGGGGAAAGACAGAGAGAGAGATGGGTGCGAGTCTCTTTCCCACAAAGTGGTACTAAGTGTATCGACCCCTAACGAATGATAGTCTGAGTCAAACATCGTCACGGTCAAATTGAATAGTCAGCTGAGCATCATCGTCACCGCGATGACCATTAGCATTCATTCAACAGTAAAAACGATAGTCCTCGTTACGCATTGAACAAAATTCTAAGAATATTATTTAATCCGCTTATAAATAATTTATGTCAGGGCACGGCCCTAATCAGCAACGCAAACATTTACCGATCGTTAAGGTTAAACACATTTTTTTGTGCAAATTAGTATCGCGAATGCATTTCGTTCATGCGTTTTGACAAACGTTGAATGTGACTCGGTTTTCTCAGAAAAAAAACATAGATTTTAATGTCTCAGAGTTCACAAACACACACACACACCACGTGTTTGGCTGTCCTGCACTTACTCAATAAACCCCTAAGCATGTGCACATGTATGCCACCGACATACACACACACCACGCACTCTCGCGTTATGTTGAACCAGACTCATAATTCCAAACAAATCCACCTTCACACGAGCACTTAATAAAAAAAAATATTCCCATGGCCTCGTAGCGGAGAAACACTTTCAGCTATGTTAGTTGTAAAGCACGCACCTTGACAATATTTGAAAAAAAAATGCAATAAAACCTGGATTGAATAAACGGGCACTTGTTTATAGTGAACACATGAAGAGAGTTTTTAGACGCAATTTGCACGAATGAGACGATATAAAATAATTGTTATATACAAGCATGCATACAACTGAAGTATTGCTTGTGAACAGTAACACAAATGATCAGGCTGCCTGCTTGCGGTTGACTATATGCGCAATCACCCAATGCATGCTACTGTGTTTAATAGTGTCAAAGTGTTATTTGAGAAATCAATGCCTTCAGTTAACATTTATGTATGGAACAGCGTGTATGTGTGTTTACGTTTACAAGTAGCAGGCTGCGCGCAACGATATACAACAATAATTTAGAGGCATTTGGAAATACGCTGCCAGATGAAACTGCTACCCACACCGTGTCGGATTATGCGGGGGGTTGTTTGACCATACTTCACCACGCTGGTCGGTGTGAAGGAGGGGGGGGGGGGCAGGACTTGGTTTAGTTACCGCCCGTCACTGAAGTTGGCTGTGGTCGCAAACCGAACCCCGGGTCACTGGGTGCATCGCGAAATGCGCTAACAACTGCGCCACCATTCATTCTCCTTTGCGACCAACTTCGTCCACCGCTCAGCCGATGCAGTTTAGAGCATAGACCTTTTCAAAAATATCCAACAGTATGCTGATTTTGCCATTTCTCACATGGTTGCACGAAATTATTTTTTTTTTCCCGAAGCGTCAAGACAAATTAAATGTCACTCATTGCATCCTGCAAATGGTCATATGTCTCTCTGAACATGAATACAAAAACAATAACGTTTAAAAGTAAATTAATGAGACATTGAACCGTGGTGATTTGTAGCCGCGCCCCGATGCAATTACCCTCGTGCCCTCTTCGTCGCACTCATCGTTGGTATTACTCGAATCGAAACATTATCTTAGTAACGTATACCGGTGTGCGTAGAGCTGCCGCGCGGTGGTTAGTACACCACGCTACTAACCCACACGACCTGAACTCGATATCCCGGCCACCGCCAACCTCGCTGGCGAGTGATACCTGACCCGTTCCCCTTCGCCCAGCGTGATGAAGTATGGTCAATTAACGACACTCCCCACGTTGTGGCTGAGTCCCTGATCCAGCAGCGGATTTACGAAACGGCCGTGCGTGCGTGTTGCTCTGCATGGACGCACAACGTGAGCGTGCGGCGTATTTTTAAACTGCAGCCCGCCTACGGCAGAGCGAGACTTCAATTAGCATGCGCGCTTATGTGCTCGCGCAAATGCTTGCTTCATTAAATGTTATTGACAATTGCGAATTAATTCAAGGGGCACAGCAGTTGCAGCCAACGCGGCTTTGTTTATCTGCAGCCAGGCAATGGGAAGAGTGAAGTTAAATATCGCTTATTGCCAGTGCGGGATTAAGATCGTGCGGGGCCTGTAGCATATGTTATGAAGGGGCCCTAAATAAAAAAAAATCTATAAATATTAAAACACACACATTTTGAACTTGCATAATACAGTAAAAAAATGCATTTGCTCTACAGCCAGATAATACAACAAATGGCTAACCTTAAACACCCAGTCGTTCATAGATGTTGAAGGCAGTATAGTACTATAGTAATAGAGCAAGTGCAGAATCGCTGAACCGGAATTGACAGCTTGAAAGCGTTTAGCGCGGGGCCCTTGAAAGTGCGTAGCATATGTAGCTACTCGTGCTACGAGGATAATCCCGACACCGCTCATTGCGAGGGCATTTAATCAGCCTCAAAGCCCTATTTGTAAAAAAAAAAACCCGCATATTGCACAAAGGGACCACGTTGTTGCCGTTGGGCGAGTGGCATGACATTTTGTTTCTGTCCCCCTAGCTGCCCAGGGTCCGCAACAGCAGAGAGGCTGCCCCCATCTGCAGCTGCCCCCCAGGTGAGCCCCCCCTCCCCCCGTCCCCTCTGTCTGATCCCCCCTCCACCCCCAGGAAGTTGCCTACCCCTTTACACCCAGAGTGCTGTTAGCGACTAGCAGCTGTGAAGGCCGGCACGGCACACGAGAGGTTGGTTGGCCAGCACCACGCCCGGCCGCCTTTGTCTCCCCAGTGGCAATGTCTAAACATCGGACCAGGTATTCATCTGAGGCCGAGTCGACCTAGGGGAGGTCCAGGACCGGTTCAGATAATCGCCTCTGGTGCTGGTGCCCGTGAGTGGGAATCGAACTCGGGTTACCGGCCGCATCGTGTATGTATGTATGTTGAACTTCATTGGAACCTCCTTTGCCAGTAGCAAAATATGATAATTGTTTTTTTACACTTTTATCTGGCAACAAACTGACACCTTTTTTACAAGGAGTCATGTTTGCATTGACCACAATACCTGCGGTCGGAATGCAAACAAAATCATAACTCTGATAATGTGTGCACTGTCCTTGATATTGATTGGTCCACACCCGAGACAGTTTTCCTTAGAGCCTAGTCTCACATGGTGTTGGACAAGATGACGCCAAAAGGCGCACAACTCAAAGACAATACACCATCAGAGTGTGAGAGCCCGGGCTAAGCATTTACACCATTGGACCAACACAAGGCATGTTGAATGCTTACTACTGAGTGGCTGAATGTAGCAAACACCTGGCAGTGGGTGATAAATGCAGACAACTATTAACTGATTAGTAAAACATAATACGCACACTATATTGGAGGCACCTTGTGCTGTTCCGTACCATGCCTCTTAAGCCCCACGACAACTCGAAAGCGTGCATTACCTCCTCATTGCCACAAGGAGGAGCGTGTTTAAATGATATTGCAGCGAACAGATCGGTAAAACAAGTCAATTGTTTAACCAGGTAAAAGCTCATAGAGACGATATCTCTCGAACCAGGCTGTGTGTATTTTAAAGACAGTTGATTGATTACTTCTTGAGCGATTACTCTGCTGTTCTATAAATGACTAACCCAATGTATCATTAACTCAAACAGCAATGTCGTTGTGGAGAATATAAATAGCAACGTGACTCATGATGCACTCCCAGAAGGCCGTGCAGCTGATGGATTGTGTAATACATTCTTATATACATTATATAGAGACGGATATGTGTAGGAGACGTATTGTCTGATTATTTATTTCGTCAATGTATCGGTAAATCAAGGCCTCCCAAAAGGCCATTCCAGAATTGACCAATTGACATTTTTCAACAAGGGCCTTGATAATTAGCGTTGAATTAATTGGGGCTCCTCCGTCACCTGTGGCACGCACGTACACACACGCACAAAGATCCCCCGTGTAGCCTTAACGGACTGTTGGGGCAAGTGCTGCGAGTGAGCACCTATGATTCCCTGCATGGCACACGAGGGGGTGGGTGGCCACCACCACCCACCACGTCACGGGCGGCAGGTTCAGCAATCATCAGACGCGTGTTAAGGCTTAATTTTCATATGGAAGATGTAACATCGTAAGACGTACCCTCCCCTTGGATGACGAATAATAGGAGTTTGAGAAACACAGGGTTTAAGCCAGGGTTTAAGTATATTATATCTAGTCTATCGTCTCTCTTGACCTTTCCAGACTCATGTTAACATAATCGTGTATCTAAAGACTTTAAACCCTAGATCGGGTTCGTGTTGGCTGTTTGGCGCTCATCAGCAGAGTAAGGTGAGGTGAACAACCACTGGACTGGAGCCTGAATGCAAAACAAATCTATAGACCATCACTTCGAGCTACAGTGTAACATTCTGGCTAATAAATGCCCACTTAAGCGGGCTTACTCTAGTCTTGAACTCCTGTGGCAATTACTGAATGGTGAAAAAAAAAATCTAATTTCTTACCGTCCCGTAATGGCAGATTCCAATTGAAATTCCTTCCCTGCTCAAATGAGCACGGGGGGGGGGGGGGGGGGGGCATGTGGCGTTCGTGTCCATTGGCAGCGCTGACTCAACGATTACAAGTTATCCCCCTTTCATATGTATGACCATCACTATCAGTCTAGTAATGCATTGACTTTTGTTGTTGGAATCGGGATGGCGAACATTATTCATCCAGTAGTGCACGTTTGTGTTGTCGTTGTATCAGATTTAGTTGCTGCCGCAGTCGTTGCATAAATATCATTGCTACGTGAATGTGCAATAAAACAGCTTTGAATGACCGCTATTATGTGAAAGCTGTTGCTTGCTAGGTGTTTGTGGTACCGAACATAATTCCGTGTAGCACAGAATTTGTGACTCATTGCTATATCAGTAACAGGTGCTTGGCAAGTAGTAATGAATATTCTATTACTTTAATTGCTTCCATAAGAGCAATACCCAGTGTTTCCATGGGACGGCCGACTCCAATCTCATCGAGTTGGTTTTATTTCTCACGGAACTTGATTTAAAAGGGAGGCAACTTCAGTTGATAAAAGAAAGTGGCGTTTCTACGATGTGCCAAGTTGCGCGAGCGATCTCACGTGAGTCGATCGCGTCTCTCGCGTAAAATGTCGCAATGCAAGTGGCCATTCGCTTGAGGCGCCGCAGTGGCAAGATGTTAACTACCTCGCCTGATATACAGAAGGTCGTGGGTTCCATCCCGACCCCGACCCTGACCATGCCTGTACATTTTGAGTTTGCATGTCTCTCTCTCTCTCTCTCCCCTTGGTCGCGTAGATTTTTCTCCGAGTCCACCGGTTTTCCCTGCACATTTAGAAACAAGCGCTTAGAGTATTTGGCTGCTATACATTTCTACGTGATAAGCCACTTCGTTGAACTATCATTTGTGATAGCCAGGTCGCTTCTGAAAAAGAGCCATATAGCTCAGTGGGTCTTAACTGGTAAAATACAAAATAGTTAGCAATACTTATAATTGGATGGGATCCTGGAATTAAAACCCAGTGATTGTGATTACACTGGTTCACTATTTTTTGACACGAGCATAGCATGTCACCTCCCCTGGGCCACCATTTGCACTTATTGAGCGTCAATTCGCATCGCACGCAGCCTGCCACGTGCGCACCGGTATTCAATTCTACCGCGGACATTTTTTGACAGCTGCACATGAGGGATGTTGCTTGGGGATTTCCACGTGTTTAGTCGCGGTTCCATGTCGATGATCTTTTGTGCAGGGCTTTGCGTGCCTTGGCTTTGGGCGGCCCGAGGTGGATGTTGCGTTTCTCGAAACGAGAGCTTTGTGTCGTGCGTATCCTCAGATGTGTTGACTCACATCCCCCAGGCAAAGGGAGGTCCCGTGCACTAATGCATTTTACAGGATGTAACCAAGCAAGCCTGTCCTCTGCTGATGAGACACCGCGTGTCGAAACCGGTTTTCAGAGTTTGCATATACTGTATATTTTAATGAAATACTTTTATTCTTCATGAGCAGAGACGGACGTGTGAACGAGACGCATTTGCTGCTTATTTATTTCATTACGCAGATATAAGGGTGATTGAAAAAAAAACCTGGCCTGGAAGAGTAACTACAACAACTTGAATGCCATTTCTTATTAAAGTACAATTAACGAATATCATAGCGACAACAACTTCATATCGTTAAAAAAGAATTTGTTAACGGCTATTTCTACGTCAAGCCACGGACGTTCCGATGAGCTCTCGTGCAGCGGATCAGTCGCCGAGTGTGTTGGTGGCTGAACCAGCGGATGGCTTGGCTGTTCGTGTAGTTATCGCCGAGTGTGTGGGTGGCTGAACCAGCGGATGACTTGGCCGTTCGTGTAGTTATCGCCGAGTGTGTTGATGGCTGAACCAGCGGATGACTTGGCCGTTCGTGCAGATGTCGATGAGTGTGGTACCTCCGGTGCGCTGGGAGCCGAGGTGACATACCTACAGCGCGGCATTTGTTTCTGATCTGTCTGTTGCATGGTGGGGGGGTCGCATGCTATTGTTGTTGGTGCGCACTTACTCCAAGTTGCCCTGATTTAATTCCAAGTGCCAAATACCGCGACGGATTTTTTTTGTTTTTCCCAACGCCCCAACTCAGCCCCCAGGCGACCCTCCCTAGAAAAAAAAACGAATGAGCCTCAAGACTGTCTTTGTCTTTTTTTGTGTGCGCGCGCCCGTCGGATGTGGTCACGTTGTGAACTTAACGTTTGTCACGGGATTTCCCAGCCATGAGCCGCATGCAAAAGTGCCCCCCCCACCGAATGATAGTTTCATGATGTGCGTGGGCAGTGGAGGGCCGCGAGCCAATAAGAAAGCAGCGAGGTGGCTGGAGCCTTTATTGCCCTGCATGTGAAACGAATCGAAGTTGTCTGTCTGTGTCGACTTGGCAGTAGGGTACGGTATGAGCATTTGCGAAGTCAGCACGAAAGTTGCGCGTGAAAACGACCTCAATTAACGGTCAAAATTACAAAACAAAACAAACTACAAGCAGAATGAGGTTCACCCCCCCCCCCCCCCGCAGCGTTATGGGGATTTTTGGATCGTGTAAGAACTTTGTTCATGCTGCACCAGATTCCAAAACAGGATCAGCTTCCATAATAGAGGTTTTGGGTTTAGATCGTGTAAATGTGTCGTTAAACCCGCCACCACCCGACATAGCCAATTAGTGAGGTTTTTATATTCTTTGGGTCTTTCGGTAAAGCCAAGTAGATAGATCAAATAATAAAAAATAATTTTAAAAATAATTAAAATAATAACAATATCACGACGTTTCGATCGCAACACAGGCAATCGTCATCAGGTGAAAAATATTGCGGGAGAGCTGGTCACGGAAGGTTTGTCACGGAAACAAAACATGCCAATTCGTTACTAGAACAGCACACCGGTGTGTTGGAGATTAAAACCCACAACATTTACAAGGATCAGCTTGTTCCCATCCATGGCTTTATTTAATAATGCTAGAAATTACTTTTTATTTTTTGTTCTCCGAAAAAATATGATTCCTGACCGTGTCTAAAGCCATTTAACAAAAAAATGTTGCAGTGTCATGTTGATCACTTAGATGTACTTAA